TTTGTCTTTCATGTTCTACATAATGTGGATTAAACTGTCCAAAATGTCTGAGTCTGTGTCAAGTTCGAATACAAATCTACCCGAGCGCATCTAAGTTCATTCATAATTACAGTATGAGTCTGAGTAAGAGTCCAAGTCTGAGTCCACGACAAGTACCTCAAGTCCAATTTGTAACTGAATCGTTCTTTCAAGCCAGTTCTTTTCAACGAATAAGTTGACTTGGTTCAGAAATTGGACTGAATGATTCTTCACTCATACAATGATTCTAACTGGTTTATATGGTTTATACATATTTGTATGAAAAACTGTATAAATACATATATTATAAATGCACAAATGCTACAGCCTAATCACAAGACAAATACTGTATTTATATTCCATTACTCCTTTGATACATTTACTACATGACTACATTAATAATGTAATAAAATTTGACATGATTATCCCACATTTCTGCCACAATACTGTGGTGCAGTTAGTGTTACTACAGTGAATCTGAGTGGATAAACGGTCCATGTGGCACGATTTAAATGAGTAACGCTTAGGGCTGGGCGGCATGGCAAAAAAAACAAAATATCGATTTTTTTAGAACACTTGACCGATTCTCGATTTTTATATGATTTTTAACTAGTCAACTTGAAAATGTAACTACAACATGATTCAAGTAACTTTTTCCTTATTAACCCTCTAGTTAAAGAAAATTCTATTCCAAGTGCACCACACATGAAGATGTCAACATGATGTAAATGTTAAACAAATCACTTGTTAAATATTTTTGCAGAAAAGATGCATGAACTACAACTAATTGTACAAATTTGTCTTATCTTGTGTATCTTGTACAAACTTGTCTTATACATACTATATGTATAGCGTCTCATGCATGAAACGGCATTCTAAAAACGTGGCGCTTAAGTTAAAAGAAGTTCACTCCCATCTTCTTGCATTTTTTCCTATTCCACTCCCCATGTGGAATAGGAAGTTGTCTTTGTCAACACGAAAGTACATTCTGTATGAATGCGCCTAGTCCAGCGGAGTCCAGCCCGGGGTCGTCACATGTGGTTGCCGCAAGCCCGCCGGCCGCTCCTTCGTCGAATCCGCCGGCCTCCGCTCACTCTAGGCCGCCGCTCACTCTAGCCGCCGTGTGTGACGCTGTGTGTTTCGTTGTGAAAGCGAAAC